CTGTTATCCGCCGAGTCCGGCTGCAACGACGGCATGGCCTTTCCGTTTATTTATCTGGGTTACTACATCTGGCGCTATCGCCCCCATGCGGGCGAGGTGTCGCTGCATTGGTTCTGTGTCACCATCCTGTACGAGTGTATTTTTGGCGCGGTCTACGGGTTTATCATTGGGTATCTGGCCCGGCACGCGATTAAGCTCGCCGAACGGAAGGGGCTGATCGATCGCGAAAGTTTCCTGGTCTTCTACTTCGTGCTGGCCGTCTTCTGCGCCGGCTCAGGCAGTCTACTGGGCATGGACGACCTCCTGATCGGCTTTGCCGCCGGTGTGGGCTTCAGTAATGATGGATGGTTTACGGAGAAGACAGAGGAGTCCCACGTCTCCAACGTCATCGACTTGCTACTCAACTTGGCGTATTTTGTGTATTTTGGATCGATCATTCCCTGGGAGGATTACAACAATACATCGATTGGTCTGCAGCCCTGGCGACTGGTTGTGATAGCGATCCTGGTCATTTTCTTCCGTCGCATTCCGATCATGCTGATATTGAAACCGATTATACCCGATGTGAAAACGTGGCGCGAGGCATTGTTTGCTGGCCACTTCGGGCCGATTGGTGTCGGTGCGATCTTTGCGTCGATCTTAGCACGGGCCGAATTGGAGGGGCATGGCACCAGTCCGTTAGGAGAATCAGAGCTTCCGGCGGCTGGTTCTTCAAATTACTATATTATTCAGCTCATCTGGCCGATTACGACCTTCATGGTCATTTCCTCGATTTTGGTTCACGGCTCCTCCATCGCCGTCTTTACGCTCGGCAAGCGGATCAACACTCTGACCATCACGTTGTCCTACACCACCGCCAATGAGGAGGGCCCCTCCTGGATGAACCGTCTGCCGCGGGTGCAATCCATCGCCAAGGGTTCTATGTCCTTCCGCAAACCGGACGAGGATGAATCATCCAACGAACCCGATTATCCTCCGGGTACGCTGCCTCCCATTGGGGTTCCGGGTAACTTCTTGCGTCGCCAGAAGGAAGATGAGACGGATCCGGCACGTGCCCGGTCGACCAGTAGGACCCGTAGGAGACGCCGCAGACGCAACGACGGAGCGGGCGGTCCCATTAGCCAGTCCGCCATTGCGCCCCAGCGAACAGCAGATACCGAGAAATCCGAGAAGCAAGAAGAAGAACACGAAAAGGAGGAAGAACGCGATAGAATCGAACGGGAATCCTCTCCTCCTAACCGGGAGCGCGATCGCTTCGGCCAAGAGCCGATCATGGAAATTTACCTGGAGGGTCATAACATGATCATGGAGGATGAAGAGGGTAACGTGCTCAAGGTCCAGGACGTCAGTCATATGTCCGCAGAAGAGCAGAAACAGCATATCGAGGAACAGCGGCAGAAGTTACAACAGAACCCGGCCGAGTTTGCTCCCTCTCGCTCACATCCCCACGAGAAGAACGAAGGCGAGGAGATCGAGAAGACCCTGGAAGAAAAGGCCGAACATTCTGTCGAAAAGACTCGAAAGATGATCGGTAACTGGATGAAATTCGGCAAGGGCGGCGATCGTGTCCAGGTGCCCGTTCACACTGACGAGGAGAAGGCTGCAGCCAAGCGTAGGACTGAAAAGGACGCTCACAAGCGCAAGGGCAAGGGCCGCTCCGCTCATGCGTACCAGTTTGGTAACACGATTATTGTCGAGGATGAGGATGGCGAGGTCATCAAGAAGTATTCGATCCCCTCGAAAGAAAAGCCTAAGCCTGAGGGCAATGCTCCGGTTCGACGAGGACTGACCCGGATGGGAACCTGGTTCGGCATGGAGGAAGAGGGTGAAAGCTCGCAAGCGGCCCGGAAGGCAGCGCAGGACGAATGGCTGGCAGATGACGGTCTGCGTTTCACCCTGGCTGACGATGGCGACATCGGAAAGCGCGGCATCGAACACAAGGGTCGTCGCATGACCAAGCATGAATTCGCCCAACAGATCCGCAACCTGGGCCCCAAGGCTCGTCGCGATGTGGTGGAGGAAACCGATGCTCCGGAGCGGGTGAAGAACGTTGCGCGCCAGGAGGCCGAAAAGGCCGAAGAGCAAGAGCAAGAGCGCCGCAAGTCGGATCCCGGTGTTGCACCCTCAGTCCCCGTCTTCGACGATGATTCCGAATCCGAGACTGACCTCAGCGACGATGAGTCGGGCCATGGCGTTCCCGGCGACAACATCGCCGCGTCTCTGGCCCGGTTCAGTCGTGGTACCGCCGCGGATGAGCGGCGTTCCCGCCATCAGAGCCCGACGTCGTTGTCTCCGAAGACGCAAGCTCGATCGCGCAGAGATTCCGAGGATGACGGCACCGAGCGTGTGCCGCCGTCTCAATTACGGGAAGCGGCTGGTCTCGCCCGTCCGCCTCAGCAGGCCGATGACGATACGGGCGAAACGCCCGCCGAGCGACGTCGTCGTTTGGCTGCGCTGGGTGAAATCAACAATTCGGATGATTCGGATGACTCCGATACTCCGGTGGATGAAGTGGATGAATCCGACAGCGAGAACAACGGCGCAAACCAGAGCCGGGTGCAATTTGCCGACGGCACCAAGGACAGTCGCCAGCAGTCATTCAACGGCGGTAGCTCGGGTGAAGCCCAGGATACGGGGTCGACCTACTCGCGCCACAGCCGCAGTGCCAGCCGTCGCAGCATCTCTTGGGGAGGCGAGAAGGGACGAGAGACATGATAAACGATCAAGAAAAAGAGGGGAAAACGAGAGAGGGGTTGTTGTTCACTGGTCAAAGAGAGAGGGGGTAAAAAAAGGGGGGAGAAGAAGGCGGTGAACGGACCCCGAGGGATCCACGATCCACGTTGCTGCTTGTGCTGCCTTGGAGACGATGGCCTAGCTTGATTCCTTGCATTGAGCGAGCATTGGATTGCATGCATTTGCGTGGTGATGTTTCTTTCCTGCCTCTTTCCTTTCTTGTGTATAGAGCAAGATTCACTTGTTTTTCTTTTGTGTAACTTACTTCCTACCCGGTTGATCCGGTCTTACTCAGGACGGGGGGAGTTTCGACCTGTGACTAGAGGGTTGATTTCCGATGTGATGAGTATGGAGTACATAGATAATCGCATAATGGTATTGTTTGGCTACTGGATTGTGTGTCTGATAGGAATGACTCTGTAGATATTCCGTAGATTTGCGTCAGCTATACTTTTATGGCAGATAGCAGGTCAAAGTTCTTCTGCTCATGTTGATCCATGAAATGCATCCTTTCAATTGCCGGGTTGTCAATATGTGTAGAAATGCCCCTGCTTATCATATGTCTCAAAAGGAATCCATGACTATGATCTACACAACTTCACTGCTCTCATACTATTCCAGTTGCCGCATCTTCTTAAGCCCGGTACGCCACAAGTGAACGTCCGCGTTGTCTGCCATCACCAGGAGCAGTCTGGGGAGGGGGGAAGCGATCGGGGCATTGAGTGTTGAGCTGCAGCTAAACATGATTGATCGAGGGTCCAGAGTTCCGGGGCCAGGTACAGTATGCACACGGATTTGAACCAGACATGTACTGTACCTGATCCCAGTAACCCTGAGCCTCCAGAGTGGCGGGCACCGGCAAGCCTTTAATTATATCCATCCAATGCTTAACTCGGATGCTGGACATTGATGTAGACCTTTAACTTCATTACTACTGTAAAAAATCAAGTTCAAAGAGAAAGGGGCATCATGCATACATTCAAGATACCAGCGACTAAGACGAGAAGATCCTTCAAAGCCGATCCGACTTTTTTGCAGAGGTGAAGATCTGAAAGAAAGACACTGGCACTAACTCCAGCATTTGGGCCACGCTTCTACCCTGTTAGTATCGGTAGGTCTGTTATTGTATCGTCTGTAGATAGGGTTGTGGGCCCTGTCGTCGGGTAGATGCTTCATTAACCTGGGTCATACATAGATGTATCGTCGGCGCCCAATTGACATCGGCGGGTTGGATAGCCGAGCCCTTGTATATGCTCGTCGACCACTAAGATATTTGCTGGTATGATTGAAAATACCGATGCTCCTGCTAGAGCGTGTGCTGCCGTCGATTACGGGTTCTGCTCATGGAGAGGTGGAATGACGCGTGGGCCACTTGAACGAGGTCAGCCTCAATCATCTGTAATGATTGCGATGGGTATGGTTCTAGTCTTAACGCTTGTCATTCTGCCGCGATAATACTGGCCAATCGCTGACTTTGGTTCCTCTAGATTCTTTCTTTGGGGTGCCTCACACTCTGTTGGCTGGGATCGGATATCAGAATCGATCGAACATTAGCACAGAATTGCTGGCCGACTTTGAATCAGGGTTAGGTTCGTTAGAACCTTTATCCGAACCATGCGCAGGGAATCATGCGGAGACCATGCTTGGACACCGTTCTTTCATGGCCGTCCGCTGCTCAGTCGCGAGCAGATGGCTGAGAAGAATGGAGAGCAGGTATGGACGAAGACATTGATTTTGGTGCTGCAAGCCCGGTAAGCCCCCCCCCCCCCCCTCCCACTAGACTTTTTGGTATTAAAAAGTCGACTGGTGCGTGTGTTCCTAAGCTTTATCTTCTAAAATATCTATTCCTACTGCATCAATCCGCAATCTTTACAACTTTCTTGCAGAGTAAGATGTGTACATTAATATGTGTTTAAGACTCTGATCCCCCTTCTTATTCCTATTTTTAAAAATAAATTTACTAAAAGTCCTGTTGATCTTTCTGTCTACTTCTAGTCGGCCTTTATAAACTTCTGCTGGTTTGTCTCTATACCTTCCCTTTATTTATTGGGCCTTTTGCGCGTGCTGCAGCCTCTACTCTCCAAATATAAAAAGAGGAAGATTAGACATGCTTCAGCCTTGCTAAGCGGTACTACTCAGGTCAACACCTTATATCTCTTTTTTCTTCTGTCAGTACGTCTCTTCCTTTTAGGCCGACTCGTAGTCCTCAAGCTCTGTTCTGTTTCTTCTCACAATAGAAACACTTGCAAAAATCATCATTTGAGTTCATTCAGAATAAGTCTCAAGCAGAAAACTAATATGAGTCGGTAGAACAAGAGCTAACAAGACCCATAATCTTGGACTTGGAGAACCAGGGAAGAGAAGTGGAGAAAAAGGCCTATGATAAGGACCTTCAGCAACCTCTTCTTCACAACAACCACTACCGAAGCCTGCCTGCACCCTACCAAAGAGAATTCCTAGTTTCAATCCAAGCCCACAGCCCACCTCTTTCGTTTCAGATAATAACCTAGTCCGATCACCAGTCGGATGAGTGCCCCTTGCAACGTCATGCTCGTTTTGCATGCTGCCCGAAGGAACATTCAATCTAGACCCATCAGGCGAATTTCCGTTCCCAAGACCGATTCAATGTCTTCGAACAGGTCGAGAATGTGAGTGAAGTACCCGGTGTGGCCTATCTCGTCGCCCCCCAAAGCCATGCCCCATACTCCGCCCTGATGATCACATACAAGGGCTCCGGAATCCCCAGGGCCGATCACAGGTTTGCCAGTTTGGCTGTTGTGACTGATAAAACTGTGTTCATGAGTTACGACGATGTTACCAGCCTCATCTTCCGCTACTCTGGCAAGCAGAAGACCGTTGTACTGACCCTCCGTCCACCCTGCGGTATGGCCGAGTTTGAAAATCCGGAGTTCGTGGGGAGGAGAAGCAACGGTGGCAAGCGTGGTGAAACGGTGCGAATAAGTTTTCAAGTCCGATGACTACAGAGAAGTGTTAGCACAAGAAAGTTTAGAGATAGGGATCATGGATTTGGAGATAACCCACCGTGTTATGGCCTGTAGCCCGGCCCACAAGGCGGATGAGAGCCCAATCCATAATTGAAGGACGCGTTGTCTTCGGATCCTTGATCTTGATGGTAGTGAGATGCTTGTTTCGGAGGCCCGAGCCGGCAAACACCTGTCCCAAGCGAAACTTTCCCTTCTTTTTGTCCGTCTCCAACCCGTCTATCTCCGATTGAAGTCCCTCCATTTCTCGTTTCACCCGTCTCCACGTACGCTCGTCCGGCGAACCGTAGCCTACTCTATTTACCTGATCTAGCTCGACCATCTGGTAGACAGGGTTTTTCTGGCGCTCCTCTAAGCCCCTTTTCTTGCTCCGGATCTTTTCATTGACTTCGCTGACAGAGGGACTGTCTACCCACAGTAAAGCTTTGTCGTCACTTAGGGCAATACCGTGTTGGCGAAAGCGATCATAAACTAGAAGCATATTGTCAACAAACCTTTTCTCCTTTCGGAAGCATAGTTACTTACCGCGTTTATTCTCAGATGGGATGTCCGCCTGATCAGGAACCGGGAGGACACAGTGCATGCACGTCAACACCATGGGCAACCACTGTTGGGTTTTTGGATTCTGTACTTCTACGTAAGCACCAAGAGTTGAACGGTGATTCGCCTCGTTGCTTAGTGATAGGCTCATTCCAATCCTGGCAGCTCCATTTCCGCTCATGCGGTCCATTGCTGGTCCCACGTAGTCTTCTAGCATAAGCCGCGAGGAGTTTTTCTGGATAAGCACGCCAACCTGCGTGAGGCCGAAAGCTTTCAGAATATCTACAAGATTCTCTCGCGCGTGAGTCCAATTGCGGGCCTCGTTGTGATCGACACCCATGATCACCATTGGACACATCGAGCTCTTCGAAATTCCGATCTGGTGGCAACTAATGGTGTTGACGCCACGCAGAGAAACCTTGCGTTCGATTTTGTCCAGGACCTCATTCCACTTATGGAAAATCGGGTCCGACGGAGTACAAGGGGCGAAGGAGAGGGGTTTAAAAAACCGGGGATCGAGCATCTCCACCGCGATGTTGTTGACGCCCTGCTGGTGGAGATACTCACGGATCTTGCGTGTAAATCCAATCCAGGATTGACCAAGTTGCACCTTGGTGGCCAGAAGCTTGCAGGTAAATTTCGACGCACTGCTGCTATCGTGCGCTGAGGTGCGGTAACAAAACTGGATCTCTCCGATCCTGATGCCTTCCCGGCGACCCAGATTGTCGATCCCATCCATCAAGGAGGCCTGCTTGTCATCTGGAATGGGCGAGCGTCCAGGTTTAGGCAAGGATGTGTGGCAGGGAGGCTCTGGTAAATAGGGGCCTCCAGCACGTAAATCTTCCTCGACGAAACCGTCCCACGCGCGTGTACTACTGTCGCTCGAAGAACGACCTGTACGCCGCGATCGAACACTCTGAGAGTCACTGGCACGCCGATATACAGGCGACGCGTAGGTTATTTCCGTTTGAATTGGTGGAAAAACCAGGGGATTCGCCACCAAGGCCATAGTGGCGACGGCCTTTTCTGAACTATGTTAGCAGTGTCACCTGGAGGATCCGAAGATGTCATACCAAGGTCTAAAGATGGTGAGGAGGTGTGTGATCACTTGTCCCTGAATTGGAAGAAGTGGGGAAGGACGCGGGTTGCTGGACGGAAAGGATGAAGGTATTCAGGGAAGTCGGGAAGAGGTCCGACTGGAGAGAAGAGAACGGATCCCAAGGGAGAGCACGGCTGAAATGAAAAGAGATGATTTGGTATCTGAAATGGTGATAGATACTAGGCAAAATGTATGGCAGAGACTTTGGATTAGTAGCTGGTGAGGTCCGAGTTGAAGTGTGGAAAAAGGACTGATGGGAGGACAGATTGTGGAGGAAGAGATGAGGAGAGGTAAGTAGAGAAGAGGAGAAGAGGGAGATAACCTCGTTGCCTATAAAGCTTTTTCCTAAGAGTCACAGCTGGCGTGTTATAGTGAATGTGTTCCAACGAAAATTCACTATACATCCATCATTGTGAAGTAGGGGCCCAGGAACTCGCAAGGGATGATGTCATCAGGAATTGGTATAAGTTAACCAAAAATGGTCATATCAAAACATTATCTGCGAGTGGGCGTCTGCTTGCCTGCTTATCACCTGCTCGGCAGTCTCTGAATCCAGCAATGACTCTCTAACCAGCTCCGGATGGCTTTTTGACAGACTGCAGAATTGGATAAATTTGATAGGTCTGTCTTCAAACTTGACCAGTATTAGATTATTTAGTTGATATTTCAAAGAGGTATATAGAGAATTGCTACACTGTATAATTCTCTGTACTAGTAGCTATATATCGCAAAGATTAGTCTCCCTTTCTGACCGGCTTCCACCGCGAAGCATGTCTAATCTTCCCCCTTTTATATTTGGGGAGTGGAGGCTGCAGCACGCGCAAAAGGCCCAACAAACAAAGGGAAGGCATAGAGATAAAACAGTAGGAGTGTATAAAGGCCGACTAGGCGTAGCCAGAGAGGTCAACAGGATTTTTGATAAACTTGCTCTTAAAAACGGGAACAAGGGGGATCAGAGCCTTTAATACAAATACAGTCAGTAAAAATCTTAGCTAGATCGAAGAAGGGTAAGGAAGGGGAAACAGAAAAAGGAGTATATACAAAAGCTTTTTCGATCTTCAGCAGGAATATTGAGGTTTCCGCTTCCACGTGAGCCGCGCGCGCAGGGAGCGAATCTGCGTATTCTAGAGGGTCGTGGTGGAGGTTGCGAAGAGAGAACGCTTCCATTGCCCGCAGGAATGGCACGGAGGCGTTGAAGTGCATATCCTACTCTGCAGGAAAGTCGTGAAGATTGCGGATTGATGCAGTAGGAAAGGACATTCTGGAAGATGAAGCTGAGGAACACACGCACCAGTCAGTTTTATAATACCAAAAAGTCTAGGGGGGCGCGGGGCTAAATAGAGATGAAATTATAAAATCCCGAGTAGCACCGCTTAGCAAGGCCGACTAGCCTCGCTGGAAAACGTTTGTATAATCCACCAAAGCGTATGCTGTCTCGAGGAGTATCTGTGTCAATATTGTTACCAACGCATGGATCTCGCTGAGAAACAGTCTTTTCGTCTCCGAGTTCACGAATCGACAATGAGAAGTCCTCTGTCAGGAATCTGCGACTTGTTCACTGTCTGCAGTTGTCACTGCTCCCTTTCCTAGTATCTCTCGCCTTGTCTCGATTTTCATTACAGACCACAATATCGTCATATAGACGAGTGTTTGCGACGAACCGCTCAGCGTCATATAACGGGTGCTCAAGAAGTTCAAAACAATCGCACGGCTCACGAGGCCTATGTGAATCGCATCCATGCCCGTGGCTACCAAGTTCGAAGGGGGATGGTGATCTCTGGCTTTGAGGAGGAACAACAGCGCCTTGAAACTCAACAAATTCTCCTGTTTGATTATGGCCACACATGACAATTTATCCAGCAAGGAACTGTGGGCTGAGAAAGGCATACTCATAGTTGCTGATTCAATCACATGTTGTGAATGGACCATATGACGTAGAAAACAACGAAATCCCCGGGCGGAAGCTCACTGCCCCTGCACTACCTTAGCCCTACTACCATCCCCACCTATCACCTCCTCACAAGCAACAACTCGCTTCTTCACTGCAAAGAGCCTGAGAAGGGGAGACTTGTTGCAGGGAACTCAGTGTCTGCAATGCAACGCACATTAGTAATGTGATCCTTCTTCGTGCTCTGAAGCGAAATCCGCTTGCCGACTCTTAAAGCAAGGAGGGAAATCAACTTACTTGGAAAGTGACAAAGGCAAAAAGCTATGAAGGCTTGAATTCGCCTGATAAGCCATTTCCCTTTAGAAAAGTGGCCACTGCCACCGACCAGAGCAAATAGCCGGCATCGCCGGGCAGGAGGCGGAGGTACTGGGAATTCCCCCAGTCTAGGCGGCCAAGCTGCGGCGTTCTGCCACAAACCCACGATACTCGCCCGCGTATTTTTGTCGAATTGTTAGTGTATACCTGTCGTATTGATAATGGACCTCATGGCCATAGCCTTCTTGGTGGCGGCGGACTCGTGCTGCCGCCGCTCTTGCCGCCAAGTTCGTCAAAAAGGGATATGGATTCCCAAAGTAACATGCCAATCTTCGTTCATGTCGTCCGTCCTTCCGTCCCCTCCATCATTCATGTCGGGCTTCTGCCTCTGTTGGCAAGAGGCTGTCCTCCGGCTTTGCACAGTGTAGAAGCCATTCAAGTACTTCTGCGTGAACTTGGGGTGGAGTGCCTCTCTCTTCACCGAGTCTTGGATCTTCCCGGATCTGTCAACCTTCAGGAGTATGTTGGGCTAGGCACACATAGATGTGATTGCAGAAGCGGAAGCTGACGTACCCACAGCATCAACAACGATCACAGTATCTGCTTTCAGTATGTCCATAGAAACATGTGCAAGTTTCATCTCTTCTTGTAGAACTGCATAAGTGACCGGCAAGTGAAGTTTGAACTGAAGGATATGAACCGATAACTAGAGGTTATGGAACCAGCATACATACCATCTTCGAATGGCGGAAACACTTTGCCTTGGCATGTACCGAACGATCTTCGGATAGAGGTCAAGTGGCGAAGTGTCTTGTGCTTGTAGTGCCCATGATGCGAATTGGCAGCCCGAAAGTGGTCAAGAGATGATTGAGAGAAGTCGATATCAATGCAATAGCAGTGTCGGTGTGCAGACATGATGATGTGCTTGCTGCGTGGTAGGTATGTGAAAATGACCGAACGAAGCACCGTACAAGGTCACGACGCGCAAAGTGTGATCTTGAGACATGATAAAGTTCATGTTGCTGTTGCTGCTCTTGCCGTGGTTTTTGTAGCATTCTGCTAATCGCAAACTGCTGAGGCCATGTGCTGCCGAGTTATGTCTGCTCGATTAGCTTTGGCAGATTTTAATTGTATGTTAATACGCCTTCTCTCTGCGCAAGACTAATCTTGCTCACGCATGACAGCTCACCAATGAGCTTACGTGTTGCGGCGACGATGGTAGGAAATCGTCGAAGTCATTTCGATACTGAGGTGGGTGTCTAGCTGGTGAACCCAAATACTGGGCAGGCGAAGACTGTCTCACGGGTTTTGTCAAGCTCTTGGCGGGTGTGTATTCCCTGTATTCCCCGAAGAACTGACTGCGTGGTGGGCGACAAATTAGCAGAATACGCGCGGATTAGAGAAAGAGACACTTACGGGCGTGCACCCACTGGCTCCGAGTTTCTGGGTGCGGCAACAGCAATAAGAGGCGTGGCTGGCCAAACGAGGTGGGGACACGTCAGCCCCTAGTTCAGTCAGCGATGGCATGCTCGCACGACGAGAAACAATCAATGGGCCACGGGGCGCACCCTCCCAAGAAGGCACTTGTCACTAGGGTGGGAATTGACGCTCCGCAACCTGAGACCAACGCAGCCTGGAATTTGGGGCCATTTGTCAATGGCTTCGGGTCCTGCACGTTACAATGGATATTGGACTTTCAAAACGCACTGATAATAGCTTCTGATCTCCCTTTCATATTGACTGGGAACTTGTAAACATTGCAAAGGTTGATTTGAGGAGCAAAGACCGACCTTCAAGTATGGCTATCAGTGCTATTGACTCTGTTCTCTGACAGATACCGCGAACTCGATCTTGATGCTTTAGTCCTTGGCGCCGTGCATCTTCGCGGTCAAGCTTTGAGAGATGACGTGAAGAGTGGCCGAATCTAGGTGCGGAAGAAACGATGGTGGGGGTCAGATATAGCCCTGAGATTCGCAGGCGAGCTTATCGGCAGTCTGAAGAGGCAAGCTCCAGAAATGACAAAGACTAGTGGACGTGGCGATTTGATGGCTCAGTAAGGGGACTCGACGAGCTCCAGGATCTGGTGTGATCGACACATTTTCTCAGGCACTGAAGCTCTTCGAAGTATGCGAGACGGCTGAAAATCTGCAGCCAGAGCCTCATGTCGGGTTCAAGTACGTCTTTTGACTCCACCCAACCTCTACAGCCACATGAGGTAAAATCTGCTGGCTATCACGCAGGCCAACAGCGGCATCAGGCTTTTTGATATAGCCCTGTCGGAGGAATACGTGAAAGATTGGTACACTGCACTGCATTCCGAACCATTAGCCATACATCAACAAGATAAATCCCGAATCTGATGAACAGACGACGGCGGAGACACATTACCCAGATAAATTTATTTCTCGTGTTTATACTCCAGATTTTCAAAAGAAAACGGGATCGGCCAGTGGGAAATCACATCCTCTCGAGGTGAAGTACAGGAGGCGAATTGAGTCCCTTGTCCGTACATAGTCTGTGGCTCATGTCCGTAAGAACCAATTTAAACACTGGGGTAGCCGTTATCGTCTGCGCAAAGCAACCATGCCTGTGTTTCGTGCGCCTTTCTTCGTACGACTAGCTTCAGTGAGGACCAGACCCTGAGCTGGATAACCGCTAATGGAACCCAACCTGAGCATGTGAAACCCGTGAAATTAGTCTCATGTCGTTGCTGATATAAGAATCAAAACTGCTGATTAAAACGCCGGCCCCGTCCAGCGACCCACTCACAAGGAAGCTTGCAGACTCACATGTTAATCCCTGGACTTTTGATTCCAGGCACTGTGACTCCGTCCTGTCCGCTTTAACAGGCGCTCACAGCGCGGAAGTACATCCTTGCCCAGTGCAGGTTCGAAAACGCACCATCGTGTCATTGGCAACGTGAAAAGCTAAATAGCCCCGCAGGCGCGCACAAACTCGCACTCAGATGCAGTGCCGCCCAAGCGACATGCCGACGCGCCCACAATATGCACCGCAGGTTCTGTCTAAAGTGTTAGCGGCTGATGATGTCCCGTGACCACTCACAAAGCAATCTGCTTAGTCTCTGCCGATGGCAAACGGAGAAGAAAAAAGGGGGGAATCGCATGCCCTTACCGAAATGAACCACAGGGACTCAGGTCCTCGAAGACAATCAAACCCCACGCCATTTCTCTCTTGTCTTGGTCTCAATGACTACCATATGGGTGGTGGCCTGGCCTTCATCCCCATAGCACATCGACCGGTCAACATTCCCCTCGAGCAGGACACGTTTGACATCGGAACTTGCGGTCATTCGCGTCTCATACATTGTGTATGGTCTGACGCGTTGTCCAAGTCAGCTTCTCTTCTGTGTCGATGAACGGTGAATAAAATGTCCACTGGGCTGAGTCTGGGATTGGTTTCATCACCGAAATATGAGGAAATGATGAAATGGAAAGGGCTTCTCAGCTGGGAAGCAATGGACGCTGGGGGCTTACAGACTAGAACTAGCGAGGCTTTGATGGAGCCGTCGCTGTGCTGCCACAGGAACTGCAAGGTTTGTCCGCAGGAGGCCGGGGAGGTACAGAAACTGTGGGCCCGAAAACCGCGAGGGCTGCCACAATGCTGGCCAGGGCAAATTGGTGCACACGACTTCCCCGGGCCTAGGTGACGATCCGCGGGGGGAGGATAGCAGCAGTAGCAGCAGCGTCAGTGGCATGCGCAGGCACTTCGCGACGGCAGCGACAAGGGGATTCTGGCCTCTCTGTCGATAGACAGACCAGATGAGAAAGGTATTCTCGCTGCAGCTAGGGATAGACTGCTAGCGATGGTAGTGGTGGAAAAGGAGATGATAGAAGGGGTGATCTGTGTGTCGCCTGCTTGAGCAACTGTCGGATCAACATCTTAGAGGATCTTGCTTGGTTGGTGATGGTGATGGTGATGATGGTGGTAGTGATGATGATGATAATAATCAAAATAGTAGGGCGAGCTTTGCTCAACCCGACAAGGAAAACCAACCACCACCACGTCGAATTCTGTTCGTACGTCCCATTCAGTCCACCAACTCTTCGATAATGTTGCGGGGGAGAGCAGCAATTGCTGCAGGCTCATACTTGGGCTCGTTCGGACCATAATAACCACAACGCGCACTATGATCCTTAAACTTGCACACAGCACAGGCACCACCTCACCATCCAGGCAGTCGTACGGTCGGTCGAAACTTCATTTGGTTGTCATGCTCACAGCGATGCGCCATCACCAACCCACGGGACACAATTAGAAGACTGTTGGCATAAGAAGGGCGCCTAGTGTGCATCTGATTCTGTTAGCACCTCGTACGGGATATCCGCTTTTAATGATAACGACATCGATGGAGTTGAAGTTGAAACAAAGGGCGAAGAATACGAAGATCGAGATAGGGAATGCAATGATAATCTTGCAAAGGTGATGAAGGATTCGAATCTTGATAGTAGATTGACACCTACAGAGGGGGTGGATAGAGAAAGGAGCGAAGGGTGGATCTTGGATGGAAGATGTGGATGATGTATGATGGTAGAGGAAGAGGAAGAGGATGTGGAAGAGAAAGAAGGATGGAGAGGGGGTTGATATGTTGAGAGAAGGAAGGTGGTGAAGAAGAGGATGGAACTGAAAGCAGGTAGCCCTTGAATAAAGGATATCCTTGTCTATTCACTGATCAACGGAAGCCTATATCCCACAGTGAGAAGGTTGGCAATCGACATTTTATCACATGGCAGGGTGAATTCAAAGAAGCCCTAATTCACTGCCATGGTTACTACGCAATCTCACCTAGATTGAATTTTCCTCAACCAGTTCAGCTCAGCTGAATTCTGTTGTCTCAATGACTATCCAGCAAGGGATTGTAAGTTTAAAGGGGACCAGGGCCTAAATAAATGAGATTATATGACATACATAGTACAAAAACAGCGAAATACATAGGCGAATAGCTCACTGCCCCTGCACCACCTTAGCCCTACTACCATCCCCACCCATCATTTCCTCACAAGCAACTACCCGCTTTTTCACGGCAAAGAAACTATCTGGCGTGACCGAGATCGAGCTAATCCCCGCCTCAACGAGAAATTGAGCAAACTCCGGATGATCGCTGGGCCCCTGCCCACAGATCCCGATCTTGCAGCCCTGCTGGCGCGCCACGTCGATCGCCCGCCGAATCATCCAGAGCACGGCCTCATCCTGCTCATCAAACAGATCCGCCAGCTCGCCAGAGTCCCGATCTACGCCCAGCGTCAACTGCGTCAGATCGTTGGATCCGATCGAGAATCCATCGAAGTAGCGGGTGAACTCCGCCGCGCGGATCACGTTCGCGGGAATCTCGCACATCATGTACACCTGCAGGCCGGCCTCGCCTCGCGCGAGCCCGTTCTCCGCCATGACGGCCAGCACCTTCTCGGCCTCGTGCACGGTGCGACAGAACGGGATCATGACGATGGCGTTGGCGAACCCCATCGTCTCGCGCAGCCGCTTGATGGCGCGGCACTCGAGCGCGAACCCTTCGCGGTAGCGCGGGGAGTAGTACCGCGAGGCGCCCCGGAACCCGAGCATGGGGTTCTCCTCGTGGGGCTCGAACTCGTCGCCGCCGATCAGGCTGGCGTACTCGTTGGTCTTGAAGTCGCTCATGCGGATGATGGCCGGCCGCGGGTGGAAGACGGCGCACAGCGCGGCGAAGGCCTGCGCCAGCTTGTCTACAAAGTAGTCGGGCTTGTTGTGCGTGTACCCGACGGCGAGCTGCGCGATCGTCTTCTTGGTCTCTGGCTTTGCGAGCTGGTCGAAGTGCACCAGGGCCATCGGGTGGATCTGGATGGTGTTGGCCACCACGAACTCCATGCGCGCCAGCCCGATCCCGTCGACAGGGAGCCGCCACCACCGGTACGCCGCCGCCGGGTTGGCCAAATTGACCATCACCTGCGTGTGGCGACTCGGCGGCAGCGAGGCGAGGTCGACCACCTGCGTCGAGATGTCGGCGCTCCCCTCGTAGATGAACCCCACATCCCCTTCGGCGCAGGAAACGGTCACGTCCTGGCCCGTGTGCAGGATGTAGGTCGCCGTGCCGACGCCCACGACGGCGGGGAGGCCCAGTTCGCGACTGACGATGGCCGCATGCGAGGTGCGCCCGCCGTGGTCTGTGATAAGGGCTTTGGCCTGCTTCATGATGGGCACCCAGTCCGGATCCGTAGCCCGGGTGACCAGGATCGAGCCCGCCACGAACCGGTCGATATCCTGCGCCGTCTCGATGAGACACACCCGGCCGGAGACGGCGGCATCGCCTACGGACACGCCTATGGCCAGCACGCGTCCTCGCTTTCGGACGTGATACGTGGTGAAGCTGCTGGCCGCGTCGTGGCGCTGCGAATGCACCGTCTCCGGCCGCGCCTGCACGATCCACAGCTGCCGGGTCGCGCCGTCGCGTGCCCACTCCAGGTCCATCGGACAGCCGTAGTGCTTCTCGACGATGCATGCCCACCGGGCCAGAGTCAGGATCTCCACGTCCGTCAGGACCCAGGCGTCGCGCTCCGCCTTAGAGGTCGGGACGTTGCGCGTCGGGGTGGTGGCATCGCCGTACACCATTTTGACCTCCTTGCTGCCGCGGTCTTTCTTGACGATCGGCCGCAGTTGGGGGTCCTGGAGCAGGGGCTTGAAGATTTGGTATTCATCCGGGTTCACTGTGCCCTGCACGATATTCTCACCCAGCCCCCATGCAGCATTGATCAAGACGACCTGATCGAACCCGGACTCCGTGTCAATCGTGAACATCACCCCAGACCCGCCGCCGGGGGCATCCGACCGCACCATCTGCTGCACACCCACCGACAGCGCAATGCCAAGGTGGTCGAACCCTTTGGCCTGGCGGTAGCTGATGGCTCGATCGGTGAACAGCGAGGCGAAGCACCGTCGACATGCAGCCAGGACCGCCTCCGCGCCGGAGACATTGAGGTAGGTCTCCTGCTGGCCGGCGAAGCTGGCGTCGGGGAGATCCTCCGCCGTGGCACTGGACCGCACGGCTACGTTGAGATTGTTGTCTGCAGTGCCGGCGCGAAGAGACAGCTCGCGGTATGCTGTGCGGATGGCTTCCTCTTCTTCTTGCGGCCACCGGCCGTGCAGGAAGAGGCTGCGCACGGCGTGGCCAGTCTCGACGAGGGTGCTGCGGCGGGCCTGCCAGTCGGTCACGAGGGCAGCGATCTTCTCGCGGAGATGGTTGGCGTCGATGTAGTGCCAGTAGGCGTCGGCGGTGGTAGCGAAGCCCGGGGGCACGGGGATGCCCGCGCTGCCCAGCTGGCTGAGCATCTCCCCCAGCGACGAGTTCTTCCCGCCCACGAGGGCCACGTCGCGCCGGGTGAGCTGATGCAGCTGGAGGACGAGGGGGTGGTCACTGCTGCCCATTGTGTAGGTACTTTTGAACTGGAGTGGAGTCTTAGTCTGCAACTTTGTGCTTAAACGAACAAGAACTCCGAGAATATGCGACTATTTAACTCCCCACCACACAGTAAACAGTGACAGAAACCCAGACTCGCATCCTTACAAGCATACAACAAAACTTCGGCTCTTTCACATGCAGTCCATCACCCTATACTCCCAGGAATCGGTCAAATACGAGGATGGTATGATCGCCGTGCGACCTAGCACAAGGTCCTGTCAATGGCGATCGCCGTATGGCGCGGAGGTGCAACCCTTGACCAAACCCTGCAGAGGAGCTTCTTTGTCCACGCATACTTCCTACCACCCATGGTAAGTGCAAGTACCCCCTCGGAGATGGCGATCCCGCAATCAGCCATTCAGCATCTCCCGGCCGAAAGAGCTATATCAATTTCACATGTCATCCCCTTGTGGTCGTCATCCCCACACAATTCAAACCATATCACTCAGCTCTACCTCAAAGCTGATTACCTGTATAAACACTAAAGACATCCATCCAATATCCTCGCGCAAATAACCCCAATCTGCCTCTCATATACCAATCACACCACATATCCGAATACACACTCCAGGAAAATGACATCCCGCATCGGCATAATCGGCGTCGGCCCCGTCGGCGCCGCCGCCGCCTACGCCCTGCTCCTGCAGCACGTCGCGCGCGAGCTATGGGTCGTCGACATCAAGCTCGACCGCCGCGACGGCCAAGTTCGCGACCTGGCCGACGTCGCCGCTGTTGTTGCCAACCCTAAATCCCGGGGGGCCGGGGCCACCGTGCGCGCCGCGACGCACCACGAAGTCGCCGCGGAGTGCGATATCATTGTCATCACAGCGGGATCTAAGTATACCATCGGTATGTCCCTACTCAAACCCTGGCCCTCTCTCACAGAAGCAAAGTTGACATGTACTAATATCTGGTGATTGGGTACAAAAGGAGAAACAAGCATGCAGCACCTCTACCGCAAAGTGTCGATCGTGCGGAGCATCGTCGCGGCCATGCAGCCCATCCGCCGGGATGCGGTGCTCTTAGTGGTGTCGAACCCGGTGGATCTGTTGACCTCCCTGGTGAAGGAGATGGCGGGGTTGCCGGCGGGACAAGTGCTGGGGACGGGGACGGAGCTTGATGGCGTGCGGTTGCGGGCCTTGGTGGCGTCCGAGATGGGGGTAGGTCCTCCACTGCCGTCCTCACCCTCAGCAGCAGCAGCAGCAGCAGCAGCAGCATTGCACTTACTGAAAGACTAAGCAGACCCCCGCATCCTCCATCAACCTCAACGTTGTCGGGGTCCACGGCCCCTCCCAACTCGCGACCTGGTCCACCGCCACCATCAACGACCAACCCCTCCACCCGACGCTTCTCAGCACCCATCACCCGACGCTTCTCGCCGACGAGTGCAAACGGCGGTCCGAGGCCATCGTCCATGCCAAGGGGTCGACCGAGTACGGCATCGCGGCGGTGATCGCGCGGCTCTGCGCGGCCATTTTAGATGATGAACAGAGCACCCACGCGGTGAGTCATTTCCAGGCGGAGTTCGGGTGCTGTTTTAGTTTGCCGGCGGTGTTGGGAAGGGAGGGGGTCGTGCGGACAGTCGCGGTGGAACTGACTGAGGCGGAGAGGGTGGAGATGGAGAGGAGTGTCCGGCTGTTGAGAGGGCGCATTGGGTCCGTGGAGGGGGATGGTGTTGTTTGATTTTTGGTGGTTCGGGGTCATGGGCTTTCTTTGTGCTGGTGGTGCAGGGGCTGGTGTAGGATGGTTCTTGTAGGATATTTTAGTTCTGCTTGCAATCTACGGCTGGGCTTTTCTTCATTACGATGCTTCGGGTAGGAGGAGGAGGAGGTGGTGGTGGTGGTGGTGGTGGTGGTGGTGGTGGCGGGGATGAAGTTCATCCTCACAGACAGAGGAGAAGGCAGGCTTATCTCACAATAGAGCAGAAGGTGGGTGTTGTTCAAAGTAAGCAATATGCAGAAGACTCTGTCCAGTACGGTGTCCGCTAAATCAAAAGCCCAGTTAGTCCAGACTCGATCGATTCAATGGAAAACAACGGCAGTTCCCTGCCACTGACTAGCCCGGTAGCATTAAGCGGAGGATTAGGGCTGACTTCTTGTGGTCACTCGGCCGAGACCTCACGCCAGATTCTATCATGGCTCCTTTACGTATCCGGGGAATCCTGGTTGACGGATCTGCGGGGATCCCACAGATGACCCGTGTTGCATCATGCCACCAGACGTCATCTCAAGGAAAAACTGTGGCTCATCCTACACCGCTCTAAACTCTACCTAGCATGCGTCTCGGAGCCGAGTCTCGGTTCCATGATCGACCAGCATAGAAGAGTCCAGACCCATTTGGACATTCCTCCTTTCACAGAGCTTTGGTACGGTACCTATCAATCTTCGATACTGGATCGATCCGCTAAATCATGAGTATCCTCGCTTAACACGGATCAGTAAGGATGGATATGGTTTCTGGATACGAGATGGTTCCAAGCTTCAAGCTCCAAGCTCCAAGCTCCAAGCTTCAAAATTGTTTGGTTCTCTCCTAATAGCATTTTGTCTCGCATTTGAGCAATAGGTTCCTATCAAATATACGTACCCAACAAAGACCCCCTACAAAGTCGAACGCACCTGCCTTGCAAGCGTGGCAACATCCTCCCCGTTCAGCCGAAACGCCGTCTCGCGGGACAGACAAGAAGCCAGAAACAGCCAGCACGCCGCATTGCCCACCGTAGTAAACCTCTCAGGCAAACCATGCTGTGCACTCGAACTCGCATGCTCTTCCGTTTTCTTTTCAGTGGCAAACAAGTTATATAGATGCTGAGCAACCACGTCCGTCTTGTTCGCGCCATCCTCCACCAAGAACATCCGCTCCTTCAACTCCTCATGCGCGGCAAAGAAACTCCCTCCCGCGACGGTGGTGACCACCGGCTTCTGCTTTTGCATTGCCCACAACAGGACCTCCGGGATGCCTTGGCAGAGCGACAGCTGTACCACCACCCAAGCGTTTGAGAGCAGGGTATTCCACATCTGGTCTTGGGGGCTGATCTGGACGATGCAGATCCGCGATGCAAATCGTTTTATCTTGGACTGGACGTGGGAGATGAGATGTTCGTACTGCGGAGAACTCTGGGATCTTTGGGCGGGGCCGTGGTGGCAGATCAGCAGCTTGGGAAGGAGGAGCTTAGGGTCGTCCGTCAAAGATATGGTGCAGAACGCCGCGTAGGCATCTAAGAGAGCGAGGGTTCCGTCTCCGGGACGGAGTTGCGACAGGCTTAAGATGTACTGTTCTGTGTCGGTCACATCCTTGATTAGCTCTAATCAATAACAAGAATCATACTAGATTATTGCCTGTGGTTGTTTTACCTCTCGGATAGTGGACAACGGGGGTTCCGAAGTTTCTACACAATGAATTGAGCTTTTGGCCGTACAAGGCCATGTCGGCGGCGACCATGGGCTTGTTCAAGCCGTCGAGTCTACCTTGGTGTCAGAATATATATGTGTAAAGGATGTAGGCATGGAAAAGCAACAGACACGGGTAAGGCACTGACTGGTCTATAGAAGGCGATATATAGCCTACATTCGCCTCTGGCATAACGGACGGCGCGAGTTCCCGGGGTAGGGTCGTGACCAAGGTGTCAACATGGTCCAGCTTAGTCTGCACAAATTGCCAGGCAATTGCTTGAGGAAGGGTGGAATGCTGCCGCAGCACATCCGGTGGAGCGTGCAATCGGTTCTCAAATAAGACAGGTCGATAAGGATCATGTTGCTTCGCCAGGTGAGCCAAGGTCAACAAAGGGGCACTGTCGATAACGACGACATCCGCCCCGCCCTGTTTACGCGACTGCAGAGGACCATTCTCTTCGAGCCAGTACCGTCGGGCATTTTCGTAGGCGAATTCCATGATTTGGAGCTGGTCGTCTGTATCCAGGTAGACCTCTGGCCCTTCCAGGCCCTCCATGAGATCTTCCATTTTTCGGATCAATTGGAGGATGTTCGGACGCGGTTTCGGGACATACCTGCACCGTTGATGATTCTGACTTATCTCCAACTAAGGATATGCATACTCACCACCGGATATCCAACCCCAATACATGGCAAAGTCGCAACAATGCGTGCCTGGTATGTACAACAGGCTTCCCTTGACACGTCATACTGAAGAACGCAATCTTCACTTTTCTCTCGACCAGGTCCTTGGCCAGTGTCTGGACCAGTGCCCACAACTCCGGGCTCACCGTCCGCTGGTAATCCTCCGCCTCTGCAAAGCGTATGCAGAAGCTCCTATCGACGTCCACCATTCCATTGAAGTGGATTTGGTTGTGAATCATATGCCCAACGCCAAATGACCTGTGTCAGTCGACAGATCGTTAGTGTTCCTTTGGCCCTTCTTGATTTGGCGAAACGCGGAGCACAAACCTCAAGCACTTCCTAGCCATGGAATCCGCCTGTTCATCCGCGGTCTTCTCCTTCCAACTCGCGAAAATTGATAGATTTCCTTGCTCATACGGCTGTCGGGAATGATCCTTGTACTTCAGCACCACTGGCAGAGTATCCAGGTCTTGCCAGAGCCGGGAGCACAATCCAGGGCATCTCTGCACGAGACCTTCCGGGAGGCCGACCGCGATGAACTTCTCCTGGTTCTTCTCGCTGTACCCACGAAGATGGGCAAGCAGTTCTGCAACCGCATAGCATGGTATCTGAAGGCCTGCCACAGCGTCACGGAAGTGGTGGATGAAAAAGTCGATCAGCTGCGTCGCGTTGCGGATGGCGACCGCGACGGTCAACCTCCCTTGCTCATCGCTCTCTGATTCTGAGAACCCGGCGTAGATTAGCTGTTGCATAGTCCACCCAAGATTAGCACAGTCGCCCGCATGTATGAGGATGATAGGTGTTGATCCATACTTGTGCAGGTTGTCCACACCAGGAACTCCTTGTCGAAGGCGGGTCCTCATTAGAACTGAAGTCGTCTGGCTGCATTGTATCGGGTATGGTCAGCTGGCAACACACCGCGGAATGTAAAGTGAGATGATTATAAAATTGAGATCTTGGATATGGGTATAATTGTATGACTTTCGTAGCCACGAATACCCGCTGATACCCGCGATTTCATTGGGCTCCGGCAATACGAACCCTCAACAAAGAAGCTCCCTGCCTATGATATAATGCATCTCGCAGCTCTCGCTTCTCCAATATGCAAAAGCCTGGCTCGACTCAGCTTCGTCAAACTTAATGTCAGCATCAGCCCACTCATCCTGTACAATCCAGTACCAGACAGGCCTCGTCCGCGATGTGGTTGCACAACACAACCTCGGAACATGTCGGCATATGGTTCATGCTTGTGGCGAGGATCGTAAGACTATCAGCAGACTTGAGGGGACGTTAAGTGAATGAGCACCATCCTAGTTTGGTGGCAGACATAAATAGGCAAACCGCGACTTGAACTCTACGACAGGATTACGACACCACCATATTTGTCCTCGGATTCTACACTCTGACGATGGAACGTAATTCCGACCTCTGCAGACAAGACCCAAGCAATATCCAAGCATGGCTGGTTGGCCATGGATTGGCCTCTCTTGTCGCAGCAGTCTACCTTATCAGAAAGGGAGGCATTCCCGGTGCCCATATTCATATTTTTGACCTCCACTCCGACGTGGGAGGTGAAATGATCGTTTCCGGAAACGCAGAAGACGGTTATTCTCTCCCCTTCTACTGCCTCCCCTACCTTCATGGGGAATGTGTGAAAGAGCTCCTGGATCTGGTGCCGGATATCCAGCATAATGGTAAATCGCTGGCGGATGATGTGCGTGAGTTTCGATGTCAACTGCCACACAGAGGACTGCCGCACCCTGTTCCGCGAGCTGTGAGCTTGGATCCCTCGGGCACCGAAGCGGTGTCTACGAAGGGCATTCAGCTGGGTCTGAAGGATCGGATGGAGCTGATCAAGTTCATCGTGAACCCTGAACGAGCGCTGCACGCGAAAAGAATCGAGGAAGTCTTCGAGAAACCATTCTTTGACACGGGGTTCTGGTCCCTATGGTCCACCACGTAAGCATGTCTTTGTGTGGTTTGAATAGATATAGTCATACATAGCTGCTGATTCCTCACTCAGGTTCGCATTCCAGCCGTGGCATAGCGCTGTCGAATTTCGACGCCATCTTCGAAAATACCTTGAAGACATTCAGACTCTGAACGATGTTGAGAAATCCATTCATACGCGATTCAACCTCTTCGAATCGATCATCCTTCCCATCACACGATATCTGAAGAATGAAAAGGTAGACTTCCGCTACCACGCCGAAGTCACGGACATCAAGTTCTATCCCGACAGCGACCCAACCACGGTCTCCGAGATCACCGTGATGGAAGACGACCGAGAGTGCTTGATCGATCTCGACCCCCAGGACATCTGTCTGGTTGATGTCGGCTTTTCACGCTCCGGGGCGGTCTTCGGCACCAACGACCACCCCCCGCCGTTCCTTTCGTCGGATTGGGAGGACCTTCTCCTCCGCGAATGGCGCCTGTGGCAGACGCTTGCCCGCAAGTCCCCGAAATTTGGAGACCCGATGACCTTTCTGTCCCGTCCGCTGGAGTCCGGCATCGAGACCTTCACAACCACCCTACGCGGCTCAACTTTCATGGATCTCTACGACAAACTCACGCAGGACAAGGCCGGCACAGGGGCTCTCCTCTCTCTCGTCAAGAGTAACTGGTCGCTGACGATCAGTGTCCCCCATCAGACCCTCTTCGCCTCCCAGCCGGACGACGTGCACATCCTGTGCGGATACGCGCTGCGTCCCTCCGAGGAGGGCAATTTCGTACACAAGCCCATGTTCGCCTGCACCGGCAAAGAGGTCTTCACCGAGGTGCTGGCGCACCTTAACTTCCTCCCGTGCCAGGAGGTGATGCTCGCGGAGAACGCCATCACAATCCCCTGTGGCATGCCTTTGGGAACGGCGCCGTTCTTGACGCGCAATGCGAAGGACCGTCCCCCGGTGATTCCCTCCAATACGACTAATGTGGCCATGCTGGGACAGTTTGCGGAGCTCCCGGATGATACCACCATGAGTTTAGATTACAGTGTGCGTACAGCACAGGTGGCTGTGACGGAGTTGTTAGGGCTTCCGCAGCGGCCGGTCTCGGTGAACAAGAATATTTTCCTGGAGATTCTGGATTTGCTGGTTTAGCTTTGTTTTCTGGTCTATTTGCTTATCTTTTCATGTTTGGCGATCACCGGGCATATCCGACTTAAGCTGTCGGATCTCATTGTCCAAACAGATTGAGTAATTCATTTTATTGAATATCTGGGATAGTCCGATAACTTGATTTAATCCGAGCCTTGCATTCCATTTCTGCAATGCTCACCTTTTGCTAGAGATCTCTTTCCCAGTCTAAGAACATCCCTACACAAACATGCAAAGCAAAGAAAAGGTTACTTGATCTACGCTGGTTTTGCCTGCCCACTCATTCGGGATCTCTTACAGGGCATTAGCAAATGACTGAAACTGAACAAGATTCCCCTCTCTACCATTTTCTCTCTTACAGGCCTTACACTTACTAACATTCACAGCCTGTATCTGTATTCACTCTGTGCTTGAGATATTTTCGATTTGGCTCATTCATCAGCACAACGCACTGAGAGATCAACCTTAACAGCTTGAAAATCTAGAGAATATTTCTCCTAACCCTAGAGATGTAGCTACCTTGTTGTAACCTTCACTGATCCAACCTTTTGCCTGGCAAACCCTGGATACCGCTCTAAGGGCAGTGACCAGACTCCTGATAGGTGTGAATACAACAAGCCTACTTTGGCTAATTCTAATTCTGGGACCAGGTTAATACCCCTATTATTCACTCTTGTGAATACGGCTGGCTGAAGACTACCTCTCGCTTCCAGGTCTGACTGACTTGAGTTTTCTCCAATACATCTCTCTAACTTCTTCCCTAGTACTATCCTGACTATCTTATTTCTCTCCAACACATCTCTTCCATCTTCTTCCTCAGTATCATTGAGACACTTCTTCAACGAGACTAAGTCTCTGCAAGAAGCCTGACAATATACTCCAAGAGGAGAAAGCTTGGCTTCTGATCTTCATTTTGTTCTTGACCTTCCTGACTTTGTAGTCTTGAGACATGGCCATCATTATGTGGACTGCAGCAGAAGATCAGTTTGAGCGATCTGTTCAGGCCCTGCTACATCGATAGGAACAAGATTTAGTTTCGGGCCATTCTGTCTCTGCCGCATCCCAGAATCTGAGGCCTCGTTTCCATACCATTTTCAAATCTCAGAACCCATTCAGGTTGACATCCTGTTCCACAACAACATCTTTTATACCTAGATGTGTCAGCCTAGGATACTTGACATGGATCCAGCAGCTTCAGAAACAAGCTCGAAACAAATACACATCATCCTGTACGGAGTGTTCTGTCTCCCGATTTTGCCGCTCTACCAGGCTTATAAGCCATCGACGAATCGTGGCCTGATCATGTCTGTTCCCAGTCCTACAAGACGTTGGCATTGAATTGGCGCGCAGGGCATAGTCTAATCAACTTAATAGTAAGTATCTGAAGCCCATTCCACCCAGCAATGCGGTGCTAACCCAGCCAGTCAATAGATATCTGATTCTTTACCGAAAGGACCGGTCTAAACACGAGTTGATTTCCCATCAAAAACCACCTCCCACCTTTTACAAGCTCACGGATCATGATTTTCATTTCCCAAATATTGTCATGGCGGGGAATGGGGACGATTCCAGCTTCGCCGCCCGTCCTGGCGCCCGTAGCCTGCCAGACAGAGAATGCAATCTTTTTTTAAATCTACTGTCATGAATGGGACATGGAGGCGATTCCAACTTCGCCATTCGTTCTGGGGGGCCGTGGCCTGCCAGTCAGAGTACGCTACGCTTTCCTGACTTATTGTGATCGCTGGAGAATGGGGACGATTCCAACTCCGCCATCGGTCCCGGCGGCCGTAGCCTGCCAGACAGAGCACCGTACCATGCCGCTGAGTGCATAATCTCAAATAGATTAAATCTGGTACTGCCAGTGGGCCGCAAGACCATACAAGACTTTCCAATACAGATCGCCAATGTGATTTCGTTCGTCATTCTACGAGACGCGTCACCTGGCTTGTCCATCTCACCTTTTACACGGTCCGTGTCCGGAGACTTCCCGGATACCGCGCCTGGTTCCCAGTCGACAGAGATGGTAATTAAATCTGCATTACTCAAAGTTAGAAGTCTGTCCATGGCAACGGTCTCCTACGACTTGCAAGATCTGTGATAGCAAAAAGTCCCGTTGTCGTGATATCCAGAAATGTGCCACTTTTGCACTTTTTGACTGGTGATTTACATCCGGTTGCTGCTGGTGACACGGCAGAACTTTCGGTAACTCAGATGTGTCAGAGCTTGGAGCATATGTCTGCTCTGTGGCACATTACATCAAAGGACAAGCTGAAATTTACGAAAGAGAAATTTGGATGGGTGCTTAGACGTCTTGTATTGTTGTACTGACGGTGATGCATAACTACCAGTTTATGCATCAGGCAGCCCATCATATCGAAGAAAGTCGGATTGTCTGCTTGGCTCCTCCTACTCTAGACAGTCTGGCTTACCCAAGAGTGTATTGCACTTGGAGACGCAGGGCGCAGACGGAAGTACTCAAGGATAGTTGGCAAGATTAACAAGGCCGGTTGGGATTATCTCAGACCATCTGGGCCGTCTCTTATACTATGTGACTCAGAAGTCCTGGTTGTTAATTCCAGAATTCGAGTCGTCACCTGTCAAGGCCCAGAGATACCTCGCATTGGTCATGGGTGACCAGAAGATATCCTATTGAATCATTACGCTGTCGTTATGAGCCATGCTAGTTCCACCGGGCAATCTCCCCTGTGCTCTGCGGAAAAACGACTAGAAGAAGGTCCAGAAGAAGCGACAGGTCCGCAATAGGCTGGAGAACAAGGACACCTCCCATAAGGTGCTGGCAAGTCCCAACCGAAGGCATTTGCAGGTTGATTGCAGCTGGGCTAATAGTTTATTTGCCGGTAACAGTTACGAGAGGCCGAGCGCCTCGAAAAAAGCGGCAGTGGCAGAGGAGGCGGAGGTGAGACGAAAGCGCGAGAAAGCCACGGAGCTGCGGCAGAGGGTTAAGGCCCGGAGTGAAAGAATCTTACCCTTTTATTGACTCCCAAGCGTATGGCAAATTTTCCTATAAAGGCACAGCCCTCTACTCTGGTACATATACAAAGACCGCATCGTCCGTGTATGCAAGGCACCACAAATACCCCGAAGGAGCTTGTCACAGCGTCGCAAGCGCGGAGATCTCATCCAGCCCATATTTCCAATTACTCAAGCCATATACTTTTAATACTTGACCTTCTGGCATCATCGTCCTTGTTTCAGGCCGTTCTATTAATTAGCATGGATTGTTGTACTATTCTCAGGTATGGAAATCTCTTCTTCTTCTCTCTTCTTCCTTCCGTCTTCGGCCACTAACTTCTCAGGGCATTCTTCCACATATATGCTTTTTTTGCATTCTTCTCTACCAATTCTCGCTAATGTTGATATCATCTAACTAACCTCGTCTGTCGCTGCTTGACCACTTTTACACCTATCTGATCATTCTCTCAATGTACCATTCGGTACGAGCAACCATGTTATACAGTTGTAGCCGTGGGCGTATCCGCATACACGATGTCGTCGAGTTAGCACGCCTCTACAGCATTGATCGCAATAGCAATAAGGAGACTCGCCTGTAGCAGCTTTCAGGATACAGCAGAATATGTTTCTTTCACAACTTGAGGCGTAGCTCCAGATGTATCAAGCATCGGTCGCGCACCAAAGCCGTTGTCGCAATAGCTACATGTTGACTTTGAATATAGAACCTTCGACAAGAAGCTAAATACGAGTCCTCGGTGTATCACAGCCCCCGACTACCGCCCAAAGAGTATCGATAAATGCAGAGGACGGTGCGCATGCAGTGGTGTGACAGGACGGGCTTTGGAAGGGTTGGATTTGCAAGTATCGTATTTGATAGGGTCAGTCTAACGGATGTCAAAGACGAATACTGTTAGTCTTCTTTTCCTATTCCTACTTCAATCTGCCGTTACAAGGATACATTCTTGCTAATCGTATCAGTCCCAGCAGAGGCTTTGCAAAGAGCGAAACAGGCTCTCGGACTATTCTGGACAACCAGGAGTGGATGATCTTTTCTAAGCACAGTATCAGCGTACTGCTGCTGCCACGGATGACTCTTTCGAGATACAGTCCATTGACTGAGAAAAAGTCCTGTCAACTTGAAATAGAACTTAAAGCCTATTGCAGACCCTCTTCATATCAAAAATGAACGTTTTGAGACCCAAGCAACAAATGTAGCAAGCGTACGAAAGCTTCCCCTGTGCTACAAGAGACACAATACTTGCCTGGTACATCATATCGTTCTCCGATTACTGCAAATCTTCGACATACTCCTCATCTCGGCAATCAAGTCAACGTGCCACATATATGCAAACAAACACTAACATTCTGTGGAAGCATATGGCTTGTCTCCGGTCAAAGCACGGAGCCCTACACTTGACCATAAGGTAGCCACCAGGAACTCCCGGTCCAATGAAGCACAGGTACGGAGTCGGTTGGATGTCTTCCTCGTCAGCATTATCAATGGTGTTGCAGACTCCCAACGCCTTCCGGGATAGCTTCCGCGAAATATATCGCATCGGGGTCCGCAAGTGAATCAGGATCAAAACAAATTCGAATAGTGCAGCCGCTTTGTCGCGTGCAGGGTTGGGCTTTCCACGCTTACACTCTCTGAAGCATGCTTTGTTATCTCGTTTCGAGAGAGTACAGCTTGACTCATCCGCATCCATTCGAATACGACTTGGTGGATGATTCCCACACTGACATCTTGGGCAAAAACATCAAGGCTACACCAAATCCTCTTGCGACTTTGTACCACAAAGTATAAACGGTCCCCGTCCCTGTCGACATCCCAGACTATTGGAGTATCTTGCCCATCAATACAGTGATCTCCTGATAGGGACGGACAGCTCTGCAATACGCTGTCATATTGGGCAGCGATGAGGGAACTAACCACACTTTTCTACGTCTACCTCTAATCTGGTCTATCCTACCTAGGCCTTCATCATGAAACCCACCGCAAAACATGCAGGCAGTCTAAGCCCTCTAGTCATGGACGAAGAATTTGCAGGATCTGAAGATTGCGATGCCAACGCCACTGCCCGCCGTCATGGTACCGCCCGACCTTCAGATATATCGAGCATCTAATAAGGACGATGACACTGGCCATGTCCTACAATCTGTGTTCACGCATCTTTCTTCCAGTCGAAGGGAAAAATAGACTAGCAGGTGATATTGCTTGTTGCATCCCTTCTCGATCGCCGGAGCGAATATCAATGCGACGCGTGCGCAAGGGGGGACGGCGCTGATACTAGCCTCAGCACATCCTCT